AAATTGCATAGACACAGCAAAGAAAAAAATGCTAAACTAGGCTCTGCAGAACAAATAGTTGACTTTGAAACATTGTTTTCTGACACTCGATTTAAGGTTTTTCTAGTTGAATTGTTGACGTCGATCTTGTAAACAAATAATCCAAGTTTCTGGTTTGATCTTACTGGCTGAATTATTGACGTCATGCATGCTATTTTGTTGAATGGCTTATTCCTTCATTCCAAAAGTGAATGAAACTATTACCAAGATAAACCTCAAGCGGCTCTTTAAGACACACATTGAAATTCTAACTTTATATTTCAACTATAATAATACCAGCTGAAATACAGCAAAATAAAGTGTCCACTCCAACTGATTATTGTTTTATTACGTCATTTTACCGTGTTTCATGATTTCAGAAAATAAAAATTGAGGTTTAAACGAAATATGCTCTTAGTAACAAGAAAGCCATCCCACGCTGAGATATCTCGAAACGTTTGCTGAGCAAATGTGACGTCAGACGACTTTAAAGTTCCATGGTGCTGGGACGAATAATTTGAGGTAGAAATAGGTAGAAAGTGAACTTCCTGAAGGCTACGATTATGAATAAATAACAATATTACTGCCATTGAAATACACACACACACACACACATATATACATATATATATATCGAAGTAAGAGATTGATTTGTCTTTTGAAAAGGTTGCTGTTTATGTAGTTGATAGTAAGAGTATAGATTTGGTGCATCTGGATTTTCAGAAAGCGTTTTACAAAGTATCACATAAAAGGCTGATTAAAATGTCTCTATAGGTGTGGGAGATAAGTTAGCTAATAGTATAGAAGAGTGAATGGATGGAAGAAAGCAAAGAGTTGTTATAAATGAGATTCAGTCATTCTGGATTAATGTCACAAGTGGGGTACCTGGAGGCTCAGTCTTAGGACCCCTGCTTTTCTTTATTTACATCAATGACAGAGATGAAGGAATGATTAATTAATTACTTAAGTTTGCTGATAATATTAAGGTCTTGGGTGTTACTCGCTGTGTAAAGGAGGGTGCTATAGAAAAAGATTTAGATTAGTGAGTAGGACGAATAAATGGCTGATGGGTTTTAAATATAATAAATTCAATTTAATGCGTGTGGATTATCATAACTTGAATTATAATATAATTTGGATGGGAATAATATTAACAGTGATATGGAAGTAAAGGATCCTGGTGTAATTGTTGATCAATTTATTAAGCCATACAAGCAATGTACTGTTGCTAGTAGTAGGACAAATAGGATTTTAGGTTAGAGGGGGTTTGATTGCCTTGTTTAAGATTGTTAAAGGAATTAATAGTGTTGATGCAATATCTTCTTTCATATTTGATGATGGGAATGGTAGGACTAGGGGAAACAAATATACGTTTCGTCAGGTAGAAGCCATCTTCAGCAAAGGTTTTGTAACAGAGTAGTTGGCCTTTGGTAAGAAAAAGTAGTTCTAAGGGTAGACTTAAGTGTTACTATTGTAATGGTCGTAGTATAAGAAATAAAATAGATAACATTATAGCATTGGTAGGAACGGAGGATTTTAATATAAGGTGAGTTACTAAAACGTATTTAACTACAGACAATTTTGAGGACAGAAATTTCTTTCAAATACAGGGGTATAAATGATTTAATACGAATAGAGAGCTAAAGAGAGGAAAGTGGTTTTATATGTAAAATGTGAGTTACATCTTCTTGACGTTAAGGATATCAAAGATAATAGTAAGAAGATTGAATCAATTTGGAAAAAGGCCTTTAGTGGAAATTTGTTACAGACCACCAGATGATAATGATGAAATTATTGAGAAACGTTACAGTGAGAGACAGATTTCAGTGTTAGTAAGGTCATAATTATGGGCAATATTAATTTCAGCCACATAGAATGGGAAATTTTAAAATCAAGCCGTGAGTGCCTTTGAAGGATGGTACAGGAACGTTCATATCTGATGAATATGAGATGACTGGGTTATTAAGTTCCTTTTCTTCAGCTTTAGTAATAACAATTTATGCGATATTTTTCATCCTGAAGAGTTGATACATGGAAACAAGATATTAACTCTGAGCTTGTTAAGATAAAGAGGGAAGTTTCATTTGCCTTACAAATCTTTTAACATGCTTCCTGTATGGACGTCGAGTACAGGTAGATCATCAGTTCAGTACTGACCAAAATTACTTGTACCTGATGCTGACAAAACCTTGTCGAAACATTGTATATTTGCTGATATGTTAAACTTATATTAAAGTTTTTCTTCATTACCCATTTAATCCGTCTCCAGCCATTATTAGTCTCAAAGTGGGTTCCACGTCACCGAATTAGTACTGACCTGTATGGACGTCGAGTACGGTTAGATCATCAGTTTGATACTGACATGTATAAACTCTAACTAGAGTAATTAGTCACCTGTTACATGCGTACTTTGACATTATACTTTACCGAAATGAAAGTGTCCATGACCTTTTAAATAGGCAACTATCGGTTGGATTAGAACAATTTAAAATTAATTTTTCTCTTTATCCAGGAAGTCAAGTTCAATCTTGATAACGTATGACGAAGACTTTTCATGCTATATAACGGTTTTATGCCTCTATAAGGTAAGCTGTGTTTTTTAACTCCAAAGGTAGAGGACGAGCAGTACTTGAATGTTCTATAAGTATTGCACCCTTATAGTTAAAAGTTAAACTTTTTAAGTTATGTTGTTTTTCATAATTCCCTTTCCGGATACCGAAAGACGCTTAAGTTAGTTACCAACTTTCTCCAGTTAGTAAGCTAGGTTCTAGGTGAAGGTAAAACAAAGCCTACATATCTGATTATTTTACAGGAATAACAAAGTAATTAAAAAGCAAATTGAGTTAATCTTGTGGGCGAATCAGGTAATAGTTGTGGGTGGACCAGCTGTTGGTATACGCCATCGGTTGTCTAGCTGATCTAACAAGAATTTATAATGGTATTTTATATGCTAGAAATCTGATGATTTATTGGTATACTTATGGTAGTATTTGGACTTGAATGGGAATTTCATAAACTTTAAGCAATTTTCATTGTGTGTGGAGATAACTGTAAGGAGTTCCTTTATTTTCCTCGATCCCACTCATGGGATAACTATTTGGTAGAAACCTTCAGTTATTGTTATGTTTCTCTAATTTTCACTTATATTTGAAACGATAGTCTGTGCGTCTCCTTAATGTACGTCGTTCTTAAGTAAGTGCGCGAGGCGAACGAGGTTTACCTCGTTTCACGTCAGAAGCGAAAGTATTTAGAGTGCAGTGTTTGCTCCCTTAGGTTAGAGTGTAATATTTGCTCCACCATTTAGAGTTTAGCGTTTTCTCTCCTAGTTAAAGTATAGCATTTGCTCACTAATTAGAATATAACGGTTGCTCCACTAATTAGAGCGTAGCGTTTGATCCACTATTTAGAGTTACAATTTGCTCCACATTTTAGAATTTAGTGTTTGCTTTAGTAGTTAAATTGTAGCGTTTAATTGTGTGGATGAAATTATAAGTAGATCACTAAGCTTAGGTTAGTATGTAAGGATGATCAGATTGGCTGGTTGGACAGTTCAATAGGAGAAGGGAGCTCTTTGGAATGGATGGCCTACACATAAATAAGGTAGGGGCTGGCTTGTTTACAAGAGCTATTAACTCATCTGTAAAGGAAGTTTTAAACTAGGACCATACTATGATGAGGGTCAGGATAAACAAAATGCAGAAAGAAATTCATTTAGAGAAAAGTATAACATCAGTACCAAACTAATTAGCTAACCGCCTACTTGACGTCCATTCAAATCAGTACGAAACTGATGATCTAACCCTACTCGACATCTATTCAGGTCAGTACGAAACTGATGATCTAACCCTACTCGACGTCCATACAGGTCAGTACCAAACTAATTATCTAACCGCGTTCTCGACGTCCATTCAAATCAGTACGAAACTGATGATCTAACCCTACTCGACATCTATTCAGGTCAGTACGAAACTGATGATCTAACCCTACTCGACGTCCATACAGGTCAGTACCAAACTAATTATCTAACCGCGTTCTCGACGTCCATTCAAATCAGTACGAAACTGATGATCTAACCCTACTCGACATCTATTCAGGTCAGTACCAAACTGATGATCTTGTAATATTATGTGGAAGTTTCTCGTCGAGTTTTCGCTCCCTTTTAAAATATACTGCATCGCCTTATCATACCCTTTGAAGACATTCTAGACAGAGCCGAATTGAGGACTTGAAGGGGCCGTAAATAAGTCCAATACAGTTCAATACTAGTTATTAACCACAGTTTGAGTAATACACATACAACTCTATCT